CATCATATTGATTTGAACAATGAATTCTTTCCCTGTAAACTTTTGGACAGCGAATATATCTTAATGCATCTTCAGACAAACTTGAACTTGATGAATTTTTGTAAACTTCAAAAAAATAAAATTTAAACATTAAACTTGATTTTTGGGTTAAAATGAACTCTAAGTGAGTGTTATGAAACTAAAATTTACACTTAAAAGTGAACTTTTATTTATTATTTATTTCAAACTGACTTTAAAATCGGGCGCAAGAATAATGCATAATTTAGGTTATGTTACTTATGCTTTTTTATGATATAAATCCACTTTTCTCTTTGTAGTAATTTGTGCTTCGAAGTTGGAAACGAATAAAACTTAAATTGACAATTTTTTGTTGTATTTTTACAATTTATAACACAGCATTTCCTAAATCCCATTTTCTTCGGTGACAGAAGGTGTAAATAAACAAACGAATATGAAATATGACAATTGACAATATGAATTTATGAAATCTATGAAATTTGCAGTAAAAAATGCAAGATTTTTCCGCTACTCGCGCACGATCGTTTCTCGTATCACATCCAAGTACTTGCACGTCGCCAATATTAAAATTAAACACCACAGATATAGATATTAAAATAAGAAATATCTTACTTGTTCCGAAGCAATGTTGAGCGAAACCATTGCAATGTTCCGTGCAAAACTGTTGTAACTCTGTTACATTAGAATTACAACAATTTTGCACGGAACTTATGTAGAAATACGCAAAATAGTTAAACTGTTGTTGTTGTAATATTTAGCCGGTTAAGCATTTGAAAGTTACTAAAATTTTACAGGGGATAGATATGCATGTTTACAATCGAATTCCATGATTACTTCATTTTCATAAAATTTTGAGTTAGTGCAGTCTTGCACTGAGGGTGCGATATGTTTATTTGATGTTCTCAAAATACAAAACATTAATAAATTAAACAAATTTTGTTTTTTATTACTTGGTAGAAAATTCTTCATATATATATATATTATATATATATATATATATATATTATATATATATATATATATAATATATAGTATATATACAAGGTGGTCCAGAATTATGTACATTAATTTCTAGAGCTCATAGTACGTCCAAAAATAAGGGTACTTCTTTATGTACAACTTTTTTATAAAACTGAATAATAAGGGAGATACAACACTTTAAAGGGGTGAATTGAAATTCTTATTTTATCAAATGTCTTCCAAACGGTTTTGAATACGGAGTTCATATTTTGGGAGTGATTATAAGACATTAGGATAATTAATTTCATGTCAGCACCTACCACATTCTATATTAATACAGGATAGTTTTGGAGGGTAAGTGGGGGTTATTGCGTCACATGTTTTTTAATTTTTACATATTTTAAAAAAATATTTTAAAAATTGTTTCCTTAGACTTTTCTACGCAAAAAATGTACTCTTGTAATATTTCGATAGATATTACCGTTTTCGATTTATTTAAACTCGAAGGTATACATGTATTTTATTGTAATCGTTACATTTCTTAATTTTCATCAAGTATGCTTTGGAATTGACACTTGTGTTAGCAATAATATTACAAATTAATGGAAAACTTAATTAATACTTAACATTTAATTTATGGCAAAAATAATATTTTCACAACAACTGTTCAAAATGTCCTCCATTTTGTTGAATACATAATCTAATTCTTATATTTAGCGAACGCATTAATCCATTTAACGTTACTGGATCGTTTTGTAAAATCGGTAAATACTTGTTCAATTTTGTCTCTTAACTCATTTACTGACTACAACTATTATATATATATATATATATATATATATATATATTATATTATATATATATATATATATATATATATATATATATATAATAAACAAGAACAAAGCATTGTATTTATAAAATACCTTGTGGATGCCAACATTTTTTAGGTGAAACATCAACATTAAATGTTAGAATAAGTGAACATAAATGTTATATTAAAAATAGATAATTTTATAGATCTCAAAAATGTAAATACGTATGGAAAAATGAACATATGATTCAATGGAATGATTCAAGTATAGTTAGAAAAGAAACGGATGGTAAAAAGAGAAAAATCAAGGATAATTATGCTAAATAAAACCAATTGCGTCACAAATTCCTCGGCAGAATACAGTAGAATCTGGTTACCCATATTAAAAGAGGAAGTCAAATGCTACTATTAATAAGTATAACATATCGAGGATGCACCATACGAATCTCATGCTATGATTTTTCTGACGGGTATTCTTAAAGTTTATTTCATGTACTCGAATGAACTATCTTATATCTTATAAATTCAATAAAGTCGTCCCAGGAACGCAACTCAAATATATTGATAATATCACTTTAAAGTCGTCTACTTTAAAATGTGTAATATACAGTACTGGAAGATTCAAAACGGAACATACGGAATTATTAATACAATTATTAAGATCCCCTGACCTGCAATTACCCAGTGTAAATTTCAATATAACGTCGCGATGTCTTATAATTAATTCATTTGTTCGACTGGATTGCTACTCCTTGGCGATTTCTAGTAGCGTATTCGACAGGTGTACGTCGACACTGCTGTCTATCGTCCACTGATTTTCTGTGTTTTTGTGCAGATAATAACAATGTTTTATTAATAACAATTTTTTTTGTGTTCATTAGATATTATTTGAATTGGTTAGTGTATAGTTTAATATATTTATTATTCCAAATATTGTTGATAATTTAAAATTTAAAAGGATGTATATGATACATCAAAATCTACAGATTTTTGCCGAAGGTATCTATCGATTTGGCAACAGTCCCAAGGAACATCACTGGCCGAGCAAAACAAATACATGCCCTTTGCTTTGCTTCTCATTATAACGCCATAAGCTGAAATAAAAGTAGTGTTTCTAACCATAAACCATGTATACAAACAAAGAAAAAGTACAAATTTTAAAATGGTATTATGGGGGCAACTCGTACCGTGATATTATAAATTTATTTACTTGTGCGTATGAAGATAGGCCAATACCGACACAATCAACTATTAGTCGTATTATTAAGGTGCGCACGTGCGCAGCAGTTGAAAAATATCGACTGGAGAAGGAGTCCAGTCGAACAAATGAATTAATTATAAGACATCGCGATGTTATATTGAAATTTACACTGGGTAATTGCAGGTCAGGGGATCTTAATAATTGTATTAATAATTCGTATGTTCCGTTTTGAATCTTCCAATACTGTATGTCTGAATTGGTAATATTAATATGTCCGACAAACTTAAATTATTAGAAGAATTTTCTACCACGTAAAAAAAGAAAAACATTTTTTAATTCAGTAATGTTTTGTATTTTAAAAACGATTTCCGAAATTGTGGCTTGTTCCAACAAAAGTAGTAAATTGCATTAAGGCTGATTTATAAACTTTACGTTGGCGTTGGCGCTGGCGTTCGCCGTTGACCTTGGCGCTAGCTATCATACACTGCATTTATAAACTTTCGGTTGGCGTTGGCGTTAAAGATCACATCTTAATTTCTTACCTTGCATTTTTGATTTGGTATTATTAATTTTTGCTTGAAAATTAATACAATGGAAAATGCTCGGCCTTTGTTAGGTGCAGTGGCACTGATACTTTGTATTCGAGCAGCACTGAGCCTTCGAAATAAAAGACAACGTCGATACAAACTGAGGTCCATTAACCAGAACAGAAAGACAAGAGGTAATTTTAATTATTATAAAAATATGATAAACTGGGACACCCGGCAGTTTTTTAAATACACCAGGATACAGTTTCCAGTATTTGAAAAAATTACTGCAAATGGTAAAACCAAAAATAAATGTAAACTATCGCTCTGATGGAATTTCTGTTGAAGAGAGGCTTGTTATTATCTAAACTTTTCCACTTTATAAACAAGTGAAAACATAAACAAATAATAATTTTATTTGATTTGTTTGACAAACCTTGTCACTTTTTCGATATTGCTATTGGCTGCGATGACAAAGATACAGTTTTATTTTATGTTTTGAGATCGTGACTACAACCACAGAAGGGTTTGTGTATTCTGTGCTACAACGGCCAACGGCAAAAAATAAAGTTGGTTCATCTTGAACGGAACCGAACGCCGACGCCAACGGCGAACGACATTTATAAATAGACATATGAGTTTCCCATTTGACCATGTTATAACGCGAACGTCAGCGCCAGCGCCAACGTAAAGTTTATAAATCAGCCTTTAAGATGCCACAAGAAAATTGCTTCAGAACAAGATCCTTATTTGTAATTCAAGTTAAGCTGGTTAGGGCTCTGGATGAAGAATATATCTTCAGATAAATTTAATGTTTACACCTGTAATCTGTTTTTTAAACATTCCTATATTCAACATTGTAGCAAACAATACATGATACTGTTTTAATTTATCTTAGCAGATCAAGGGATCAAGAAATCCAAATCAATTAAAAAAAGATATTTTAACATTTTAAAATCAATGAATAAATCATTAAACCGAGGGTGGAGTTTTTCTTTTTCCTTTTTTTACACATTGTTTCTTAAACTGTAATTACGGAAAAGTTTATAAAAAATTCCTCAATATATTTAAAAATACCAATCATTTACTTGTTTTTATTATTCCAATAAATAAATTTTTTAATGGATCGCCATATAAATATTAATAAATCTGGGCAATTTGTTGCATCGTCGATAAAAATTGGCATTGTACACGAATATAAGGCACTACTAATAACCGACTTTCCAGGAAGTCCCGGTCTTACATTAAAGTATATCATTATATCTTTGTATTTCTGGTATGTATATCGTTCTATGCCAATCATATAAGTAAAATTATTGATCATGACTTATGTTAACTATAATTAAAATCTATAAACTATATTTATCGGTAAAAAGTAATTAAAAGTGTTGCGAACTACTTGCCAAATCTAAAAATACGGGTATACAGTGAAATTTTTGTTCCTCATTATAGCGAGTAAATATTTTAAAAGTTGACTCACCTTTTCACCTGTACTAAGTTCTGTGGTATAAACTTCTGACCACATAAGGATACCTGTAGTATCCCTCTCTGATCCACCTTTCCACGAAAATCCTTCTAAAGGAGCCTCTTCTGCGCCTACCCATTCTGATGTATTTTGTTTTAAAACGTACTGAAACAAATAACAAATAAAGTTAAATTTGGAGAAATATTCTTAGCATAAATTAGCTATGCTATTCTTAGAGTCAGAAAAGATATAAACAATTTTGGAAATAAAAAAAAATAATTAAAAAAATTGGTAACTTATTCAACATTTCCTAGAATTCAATTTGACATACAATTTATTTGCTTTGTCGTGCAAATGAAAAATGTTGCACCTACTCTTAAAACTGATTAATTAACTCATTATTTATATTCTTCTAAATATATCTTTTTATCTGTGTTTTTTAATTGTTTCGGGTTTATATCGGAATAATTAAAATTTTAAATTATTATAATGATGTTTATAATTTTAATCTATGATGCATATAATATTTTGCATAATTAAACGTAAGACCTTATAATTTATTCCTTAAATAATACTATCTGGTTGTCTGATTAGTAGCCTCTCTTGCCGATTAGGGCGTTATGATTCAAAAAAATTAGTTCTAGAAATTCTAACCTTCTTTGGCATGTTTGACAAATTTTAAAGCAATGCATGCTTTTCAAATTTTAACGTTTGGAAAAATGAAACATAAAAAAATATTTTCGGATTACTATTTGAGAAATAAAGTGACGAAGGAAATAAAAGAAAAGCTGGATAAATATTATGGGACTAATGTTCCTTTAGACATGGTTGTCAAGAAAGTAAAGAAAAATCGTAAAGTAAAAAATAGCTGATCGTTAAGTGAAGGTGGTCATAATTTTAACGAAGTTTTAAATATGAAAACATTTCATATGCAAACATACTTGGTTATTGTGTTATTTTTATGTTTTATTAGTTACGTGTATTGTTATTTATTAATGGATAATTATTGAAATTAACTGCTAATAAAAATAATAAACCAGATGAACGTCCTGTTGATAATTTGTATTCTTGATGATAATAGACTTGTTCACTCATCTTTAGTGCTAAAAAATTTAATGGCAAATATATCTACAATTAATTACCACTACAATTAAGGCACATATCCCATTACTTAACCCACAGATGTTTACCCCGCTTAAAGAATTCTTGTGACTGTTGCTCGAAGAATTCTTTTACGAAATTTTTTACTTCTTCATCTGACTGAAAACGATTACCTTTTAACCTGTTTCAGGTTAAAAGATAAAGGATTTCCTTTCATTACTTTGGCAACATGAGTAAAGTAGAGTATGAGCCAGTTGAACCAGACAGACATAGCGCCAATGTCGGTAAGCATTGGATCTGCATTACTGGCCAACGCGTAACCTAGCATGTTTTAAAACCTTTAGTCATGACCGAAACCATATACAATGACATCATGGCGTCAACTTGTCTTCTTTTTCAATTCGTCTTTGTTTTGAAGGATTTAACGAATAAAATACAATGACACAAAACAGGACTCATACCGGAATAATGGTTACTCTTCACCTTTTGTGCTATCCCTAAAAATACAAAGCTAAATATTGCAGTAAATACGGAACAATATCACTAATAAGTCACATTCTCAAATTATTCTTGAAAATAATACATGGTCGTATAAATAAAAAAACTGGAAGAAGGAATAGATGATAGTCAGTTTGGGTTCAGAAACGGACTAGGGACCAGAGAAGCGTTATTTGCTTTTAATGTGCTAGCTCAAAGATGCATGGATATGAATGTTAATGTGCATGTTTGTTACGTTGATTTTGAAAGAGCATTTGACAAAGTAAACATGAAAAATTAGTGCAAATTCTAAAGACAAAAAACATATAACAAACCTCTACTGGAATCAAAGAGCACAAATCGTAATAGATAACGAACTAGGTCCAGAAATTGATATCAGCAGGAGTTAGGTAGGGATGTGTTATGCCCCCATTACTATTTAATGTATATAGTGAATATTATTTATATATATATATATATATATATTATATATAATATATATTATATAATATATAATAAACGGAAGATCTATTAACAACATAAGATATGCAGATGACTCCGTGATTATGGCAAGCTCTGCTAAACAAAACAAACAGTTTCTGTGAAAAATATGGACTAAAATTGAATATAAAAAAGACCCAATACAGAATATTACCAAAGAAAACAAATATACCAACAAACATACATTGGGAAATGTACCGATAGAAAGGGTTGATAAATACAAATACCTAGAAACCTGGATTACAGACAATAATGATCAAACAACCGAAATAAGAGCCAGGATAGAAATAGCAAGAAATGCGTTTGTAAAAATGAAAACAATTCCCTGCAACAAAGACCTTAGATTAGAACTGAGAGTAAGAGCACTGAGATGCTACGTGTTTTCGATACTGCAATATGTACTTGAAAGCTGGACATTGAAGAAAGAACACATAAATAAGTTACAGTCCTTTGAAATGTGGTGCTACAGGAGGATGCTTAGAATAGCATGGACACAGAAGAAAACTAACACCGAAGTATTGCGAGAAATGGAAATGCGAAATAATGAACACAATAAAAATAAGTTACAATATCTGGGACACGTAATGAGGGCACAGCGATGTGAACTGCTAAGGCTGATATTACAGGAAAAGATAAGAGGAGGAAGGAGTATAGGAAGAAGGAGAGTGTTATGCTGAAGAATTTAAGGGACTGGTTTAAATACAGTTCTATAGAACTCTTCAGAACAGCAGTAGATAGAGTAAAGATAAAGATAATGATATTCAACCTTCGATTGAGAGACGGCACTTAAAGAAGGACATCCTCTGTCGACCTTGGCCACCACAGTCTCTCCAAGGATACTGGTATTTATCACTCTATTCCTGAGCACAGATTCTATCCAGTTCAAACATATGTCCTCGACTGCTTTACGTCTTAACGAATTCTTTATGTTTGTTATCGAAGTGTTTTCGAAAGCCCTCTCTATATCCAAAAAGGCTCCCAGAATCACCTCTTTATTTTCAATTATGTTCTCCACTGTTTATACGAATCTTGTTCTTGATGTATTTGAGTGTGTACCAATGTTTCATCTCTAACAATAATTTCTGTCGAGCAGATTCTCTAATGTCTTCTGTAGGAATGACATTAGACTTATTGGTCTTAGAGACTTTGCCTTTTCCCGTTTTCTTGTTCCCGGTTTAGGGAACTCAACTTTCACTCTGCTTTCACTCAACATAAACATTCCTTTATTCCATCATGGCATATCCCTAGTGAAACTGCTTTCTGTTAGAGAGCAGGCTTCTTGAAATGCTGAAATGGCAGCGTCATTAGACCATTCACTGCCATTTCTAGATCCGTGGCGTCATTTATCGTTCTCCTCATCCTCGACAGATGTTGGTCTAGACCTTCCTTTCTCAAGCCTATTTGCCAATCAACCGTATCCATTTAGAACCGTTGTCTACCGTTGATAATAACGCTCAAATATATTGAGTCTTATCCTATCCAACCCTGGGCAGTTGCACAGAAAGTGTTCGGTCTTCTCGTCTTCATCTGTAAATCAGCAATCCGTACTTTCAGTCATATTTTATTCATGTGCTCCATGTGCAACAGTGTCATAATAAGAGACCTACGATAATTCGCAGATTATTCCTATTCATATCTAGTAGATATTTGAATCTCTTCTTCGAAGGTTCATGTATAAAAACTTTCAAATATTTAAGACCCATTAGTTCGTACTAGTGGTTACGTTTCATCCACCCAGTCCAATATTGTTTTTTAAACAGAATAGAGCGACACCTGTTATCAAAATTTCATGGCTTAAGAAATCCTAAGGCACTTAACTTAAGACAAATGTAATAGAAAAATACGACCTTTTCAACATAAAGTCTTATGACTAGTCACTATAATCAATCAAAATTCATTATAACAGCTGAAAATAGGGGTAAAATAGGTCCCATACGTTTTAATGTGACTTCCGTCCTGACAAACATACACATTTAATAAAGAGCAACAACAACTAGTTACAATTTACATATGAATTAAGATTACAGATTAATATTTAATTTTTTATGCTACACCTATAATAAAAACATTACTAATTAAATAACTTTATCTCCTTTGTTTATAGTCCGTGCTTCAATAATTGTTTTCAGTTTTGACATAATCAATATTCTCTTAGGATAAAATAATTACATATAATCATGTATGTTTTTGAATTTTCTGAAAAAATTTGTATTGATAAAATATTCAATGGTAGCAATGTTTATCTACTAGAAAAATATCAATATGTTATCTATAATATATACGCGAATTTAAAATTAATCAATGTCTACATTGTGTGCTACTTTAAATTAGAAAATTATAAATAAAACAGGAAATGATTTCTAGTAATGAGACTTGTAAATTAAAAACAACTATTTTTAGAGATGTTTGAAGTATATACCTTTAAAACTTGGAAATTTATGTCGTAATTGAAGGAATTGACTTAACAAAGTTTATGCATTAACAAAGTTTTGAGTATTAAGATTTTTGCAATTTTCCGTCGTATTACTTACGGATTGTTACACTCAATTATTTAATAAATTAGAATGACATTATGACTAAAACAACTACATGAATAAAATGACTGAATCGAATGTTAAAATCGTTTCGAACAAAATGGATTTTCTATGAACATAAATGACAATAAAACTTATTAGAATATCAGCACGAAAGATTAAAATATTTCCATTAAGGTATAACAAAAGGTATAAGATCATTTAAAAGGTATAAGAAAAAACGGCAAACCTCTGGGAGGCCTAATTGGGCTGAATGTTGACCGTCGATAATAAAATGGAGAGGCCGGCTAAATCCTCAATAAACAGAAACCTAAGAAGAGGAGAAAATATTCAATCGTCATCATCCGCGAACTAGTCGTAACCATAAAACGTCGCAAACTTGAATACCTGGGCAATATAATGCGCAATGAACAACGATATCACCTACTTCGGACCATATTTTAAGGTAAAGTGTATGGGAAAAGAGGTCCAGGACGAAGAAGAATATCCTGGCTGCATAACCTGCGAAAATGGTTTAACTTAACCACTACCGGACTTTTCAGAGCAGCAGTC